AGGTGAGTACAGTCTCTCTAGACCTTTCCCTCACGGCTTTGTCATATACCGGATTAGGATATGAGTACCGTCTCTCCAAACCTTTCCTTCACAACTTTGTCGTATACCAGATTGGGATGTGAGTATCGTCTCTCCAGACCTTTCCCTCACGGCTTTGTCATATACCGAATTGGGATGTGAGTACAGTCTCTCTAGACCTTTCCCTCACAACTTTGTCGTATGCTGAATTGGGATGTGAGTACAGTCTCTCCAGACCTTTCGCTCATGACTTTGTCGTATACTGGATTAGGATGTGAGTAGAGTCTCTCTAGACCTTTCCCTCACGGCTTTGTCGTGAATACTCAAGGAGGGAGTCAAAACTGAGTGTAGAAGTGTCCTAGGACGTCCAAATGGCCCCATATTTATAGGAATGGAATTCAGTACGGCCCCCTGGGTTCAATACGGTCCGTATTGCAATTTTGCACTTCAGTACGGCCCGTATTGAATTCAGTACGGCCGTACTGAAGCGCCGACACCGACACTTGCCGACACTTCAATGCGGCCGTATTGATTCAATACGGCCCGTATTGTAGTGCAAAACATGCAATACGGCCGTACTGAATGCAATACGGGCCGTATTGGTTCAGTACGGGCCGTATTGTAGTACAAAATGTGCAGTACGGCCGTACTGAACTCCAAGGAGGCCGTATTGAGCTCTAAACCTCCCACTTTCTTATTTTTTGCTACTCTAAGACCTCTAAACCTACAAATAGTCATCCTATGGTCTTCTAGGAGTCCTTCTGGCTGACTTTCCTTTGATCTTTGAGAGTCTTCGAGTCTTATTTCCGTCCCGGACAATTTTAGGGGTCTACAAGAACGAACCTCATTTCATTCAAATAGAGGTCGAGAACAAACCTCATTTCATTCAAATAGAGGTCGAGAACGAACCTCACGGAGGTCGAACACGAACCTCACCTCACTCAAATAGAGGTCGCAAACGAACCCCATCTTACCCCGTCACGAGACCACTCACATACCAATCCGGCATACGACAAAGCCGTGAGGGAAAGGTCTGGAAAAACTGTACTCACATCCCAATCCGGTATATGACAAAGCCATGAGGGAAAGGTCTGGAGAGACTGTACTCACATTCTAATCTGGTATATGACAAAGCCATGAGGGAAAGGTCTGGAGAGTCTGTACTAACCTCCCAATCCGGTATACGACAAAGTCATGAGGGAAAGGTCTGGAGAGACTGTACTAACCTCCCAATCTGGTATACGACAAAGTCGTGAGGGAAAGGTATGGAGAGACTGTACTCACCTCCCAATCTGGTATACGACAAAGCCGTGAGGGAAAGGTCTAGAGAGACTCTACTCACATCCTAATCCAGTATACGACAAAGTCATGAGCGAAAGGTCTGGAGAGACTGTACTCACATCCCAATTCAGCATACGACAAAGTTGTGAGGGAAAGGTCTAGAGAGACTGTACTCACATCCCCGTATACCAGATTGGGAGGTGAGTACAGTCTCTCCATACCTTTCCCTCACGACTTTGTCGTATACCAGATTGGGAGGTTAGTACAGTCTCTCCAGACCTTTCCCTCATGACTTTGTCGTATACCGGATTGGGAGGTTAGTACAGACTCTCCAGACCTTTCCCTCATGGCTTTGTCATATACCAGATTAGAATGTGAGTACAGTCTCTCCAGACCTTTCCCTCATGGCTTTGTCATATACCGGATTGGGATGTGAGTACAGTTTTTCCAGACATTTCCCTCACGGCTTTGTCGTATGCCGGATTGGTATGTGAGTACAATCTCTCTAGACCTTTCCCTCACGGCTTTGTCATATACCATATTGGGATATGAGTACAGTCTCTCTAGGCCTTTGTTGTATTTTGAGGAAACTATCGGTGCCCTCATTGGTTTGCTTGATTTGTGGTAGATGCTGCCCCAAGGATGTTGGGTAGGAGGTGCTTGATGTGCCCCTGTGTTGATGGTCAGAGAAGTAGATGGCTGACAGGGATTCTGGTGTTGCCCCTTGCCATGTGAGTATTGTGATGACCGTCTTTTGTTTATGATCGAGTGTGAACTCATTCGACCTTGCTAAAGTGTCTAAAATGATCTTTGTTGTGAGGGGGTTATGCCCCCTTGTTTTGTGATGGATCCCCAAATTGGGGATTTTCTAGCATTCTCTATTATTTTGGTTAGCTAGGGCTCTTGCTTGGCTGTTGAGCTGCTTGCGAGTGTTTTGACCTCTATGACTCCCTTTGATTCATAGCAAGTAGAATGCATGGATGCATGGATGCAATGAAAATGAAAGACAAGAATGATTTTATTATTTATTCTTTATTTTTTGTGTAATGCCCTTCCATATGCCCGTACCTCCTATGCATGTGATGTAGTTTATGCTAATGTATTTGTCCCTAAACATGCAATTCATTTTTTTTATGTCGGGAAATTAACCTGTACGCGTTAAGGTTAATGTTGACAATTCCTTTCTATCCATGCCATTTTTTTATTATTGTCGGGATATGTTCCTTTGAACTCAAGTTTTAAGTGGCTCTTTAGTTATCTAGTTGATGTGTAGTCAAGCGTTTCCAAACTCCATTCGGGAAAATCTTGGCCTTCCCTCTGTGAGTATTCACTATGCATTTTCCATGTATCTTTTCAGTACCATTTTAATGCTATAAGTGTCGAGAGAAAAAAAGAATGGATGTTTGAATTTTTTTTTGTAAAGGGTTGTTAGAAGGGATTTTTTTTTCCAAAAGGGGTTTTTAGAAGAATGGCTGGCCAAGGCGGGCTTTGGTGTTTAGGGTTATTAAACAAAACATATTTACTACAAGAAAGTTATAGTTGTGTTTTAATCTTTTTTTTTTTTGGAAAGTGGAGTGATGACTTGGGGTTGTGCTTTGTTTAGATGATCCCCCTGAGCCGCCTTTCGATTTTCAACTCAGGTTGCTGCTTTGACGTCTTAACTTTTGCCTAAGTTACTTGAGATGTGTTCCCTAGCGGACATTTTCTTTTGATCCTTACTTTTTCATAGGTTACCCTTTTTGATTGTAGGTTGCCTAGCGGATCTTGCCCTAACTTTTGTGTTGCCCCCTTAGTGGGTTTTCTGCCAGGCCTTCATTTTATGCAGCACTCGTGAGGTATGGGATGTCTCTATTTTGTCAAACCCTAGTCGTGTTTGTATTCATGTGATTACTTCTCTCTTACCCTTTCCATGCTATTGTCCAAATAACATTTCTATTGCAAATAAGCTTTGTTTAATTGGGGTTAGTGGATGAGGCCTAAAGTGAATATTTAAAGAGAAGAGAAATGAAAGAGTGATATGGCATTAAAACAATACTTCCAATTTACATGTGCCCATTTAGCAAAGCTCAGAGGCTCGGGCATGCCCCGAGTTCGTGATTCGTACATGGAGAGATAGACGAAGGTTGCCCCCTAGAGAGTCATGGTTGATGATTGGTCGGACTACTTTGGGAACACATCCCCACTTACTTGAACGTTGGTGTTTTGAATTTGGAGTGAAACCTTTATAGATTCTTGCTTCTCAAAGGGTATACTCAAGCTGCCTTTCAGTTTTCAACTCGAGCAGGCATTGTTGTTTTTATGTATCCCTAACTTTTGCATAGGACATATCCTATCGGGATTTTGATCCTTTTTTTTGCCCTAATTTTTGCCTAGAACGCCCCATGCGGGTTTTCGTCCTAGCGGGTCCTCATCATGCAATGCCTTTATTCTTCAATTGGGTTGTCTTGTAATTCCTTAGAAGCAAGGATTCATCCATTCTTGATCATTCCTCCTATCCCGGCAATTGTCATTTTC